TAAATGCATGATCTCCACCCTTATATCTCCCACACACGGATTCAAGGTCATTTAGGTCTTCTCAAGAACCCTAAGACATATTGGTTGGGGCCATAAACCATCATGGCCGGCTTTGGACATATTGGTTGGGCCCATAAACCATCATGGGGCTTTGGACAGACGCCTATTGCATTTATGTTAATCCTAGAAGGAAGGAACTAAGGTTAACTACATGAGCTTTGGTATGGTTTATAAAATCTTGGGTTCCATAAGCGAGAATTGGTTGTTTCCTCCTATTTTGCTTTTTTTCTAAGCAAATGGTGATAACAGATTGTTCTAATTCTTTTGACATACCAAAAAGTACTTAACTTATGGGTGGTCTATATTAGTGACGAATCGCTACAGTCTAGTAGAGTGAAAAGATCTCAACCCCCAATATCACCTTTAGGGTTTAGGGTAGAAAAGAGACTAAGAAGAGATAAATGCATGAATGACATTTATAAGTACAAAAAGTAAACTATATTTAAAGTTAATAGTATTATTAAAGATTGTGAACAAGTGGATAACTTTTGGAGTCAACTCTTTACTTGAACCTAAAACCGAAAACCAGAGATTCTGGGTTCGATCCGTAGCGAAGTAGCCAGGTTGAGGATGTGTGCGATTTTTCCATGAAATGAGAGAAGAATCAAATCCGAACAGGCTTGGTTGATTTTATTTAACAAAGTGATTTTCTCTTTATTAAACCCGTTTTATTAATCCTTAAAAATGACGATTCTTTTGAAAAAGGATTTGTAAAAAGGTCTCTTACTTTGGTAAGTGTTTTTTTTTTTTAGAGTCGCCTAACTCCGTTTTAAACCAGAGATAGGGTTCGGGAGTTAGGTACAATATTGGAAAGGTGTTAGGCACCCATATCGCGCGGTTAAATTGGCCTCCTCATTGTCCATTAATTAAACAATGAATAATAATACGATCAACTAGAATCGAGATGGAAAATGGTTTTAATTCAATTTTTGAAGAAATGTCATACACACGAACTCATCCACAAAACATAAAATAAAGCATCTACAAAGAAAGGAGGAGGAGAAAGGATTACAAACCAATTCCTATTAATACAATGTACCCTTTAACCCACCAAAATTTCTCAACCCAATTAATATTACAAACAAGCAATTATAGGAATCCAAATAGGAACCTTTACATTTAGCCAAAATACAAAATAAAAACAAAGCAATAAATAAGCATTCATCAAACATAAATACAACACAAATAACTTTCTCAGAATCACAATCCCATACACAAAATCATACCACATTCATTCATTCAACAAATGATTAAATGATGCATGTTTATGTTCAAGGGTTAGTGCAACAATAATCATAATACAATGAATAAAAGGGCATAAATTTAAAGGACAAAATATTAAAGTGCTTGAAAGTAAAGAACATTAATTTAAAAGGCAATAATTAAATATTAGAGCTAGATTAGAGTTCAAGGCCTTAATATTCATCATGAATGATGAACAAATACACCCATCACTACTCAAAATCTTATTTATTGATGTTTATTAAGTCCATTTTTGAACAAAAATGCATTTCAAACTGATAAAGGCTGGAACTTTGCCACTGGATATCCAAATTGGGATGATTTTATTAATTATTAACGTTCTAGACCTCTTAAATGAAGTGCCTAGTGCCACAGGTAAAGTGGTGCACCACATAGGTGTGGTGTGCGCCACACGTAGTGGCGTTAGGCCTTTCCTTGATCCGGAAGGTTCCAGATTGGAACAGAGCCAACAGGGGTGGGTCTATGATGAAGTGGCGAGAGCCACTTGCTTGTGGCGTGTAGTGGCTTGCACCACTGCAACTATCAGCACTCCACTTTGGCACAGAAAGCCTTTTTTGGTTGGTCCTTGGTTTCCCTTACAACCAAACTCAAAAATGGTGATTTAACACCAAAAGAAAAAGGAAAAGAGATGGGAAAATGGATTAAAGGCCCTCAGAAACTATCTTTTTGCAGATTTTCCAAGGTTTTTAGTGAGAATGGACGAAGAAATCCAAAAGTTGAGTTTTTGATCTAGTAATCCGAATCTAGGATTAGATCTACGTGTTTTTGGGATTTTCAATGAATCCTTAAGGTTTTTTATGATTGGAAATCAATGAATCATGATTTAAACCAAAGAGAAACACAAGTTTAGCTTTGATTTTGAGTTGAGTTTTGAAAATGCAACAATTTCCCTAAGGTTTCCCAAAAATCCTCCTCTACACAAATCCCTATGCCCTATTTATAAGCAAATGGGAATGTGTGGCCCTATTTTAGGGCTTATGTGGCAAAAATGTCACTGGTGGCCCCAAAATAGGGCTGGGCCTATTTTTATAAAATCAGATCGGGTGGCACACAAAATGAGATGGTGCACAACCTCAGACTCGGAATTCTTGTTTGTCACCTTCTTGGTAAAGGACTCCTCATCTTGCCATGTCTCATTAGCTTGTTCCTTCTTTTCTAACTCTCCTTTCTTCTCATCGTATTTGATGTTAACGTGCTCTTTCCCCTTATCAGAGTGGAGAAGTTTCTCTAGACTGGAAATGACAATCCTCTCAATCATCTTTTTAAGTTCAAAGGTAGGAATACTTCCATCACCCATTCTCACAACATTTAACTCAAAATCTAAACTTACGTTTCAGATTTCCAGCTATTTTTGAACTCCTTAAGAGCTTAACTGGGCCTTGGTCTATTCTTATCATTTGTAGCCCTACGTCCTAGCTTTCCAATGGCTCATATTGTATGACATTTGGACATCTACAACTCTAGAAAAATCCTAAATTACACGGCAAATATCAAAATTATGAAAATGTTGGAAACTACTCAAATTAAAGCATTTGTTCACAAAAGTCACATGAACTATACTTAATCGATAAATAAATACTAATAATTCAAAATTATGTATAAAGTTGCAACATAATACTAAGCATAATTATGCTAAAATACATACTATATACTCTCGTCATATATATTTGCACTAAACTTTATTTTAATTAATTGAGTATTAATTAGAAGAATTTATTTAGTAATCCATATATATATATATAATCATGAAGCAAAAAATTAGTTTGAAAATGCTGACTTGTCACTCTAAATTTTCTGCATTCTATATTTCCTTTTTCTAGGAATATTTTGAGTTTTTTCTTTTTATCTTTTTTTTCCTTTTTTCCTATAAGTTTTTTTTATCTTTCTCTTATTTCCATATAATAACTATATCTTATCTCATCTTTCATCAACTACTGTATCTTATCGCGAATGAAAGCAGTTTCAAATTTTAATCAACTTTTATCTACATCTTATTATATCTATATATTCGATGAGAGGCTGAACATTCACATTTATAATCTGTGGTAGAATTGCAAGGCTAGACACAATTAGATTAGTTGATTCCTGTAAAATGAGTTTGCATGCATATATTGATAGTTTTTAATTTGATCATTTTTTGCATTATTGTAGGTGACTGATCATTTTCTGCATTATTTTTAATTTGATAAAACATATGGTACATGCTGAAATTTTCAAGTCTCTTTTGACTTGCAAGCACTAAACAATGATGCAAGATCTAGATATGATGCACTTGAGGAGGCCATGTCTGGTCAGTATACTTTCAATAGGATGTTTATAGTTTTGAAGCTTATCACGGGACGTAAATTATTTGGTAAAAGGGAGGCGACCACATTATTACAAATGGAATATTCAAAATTGCTCTCATAATATTCATCTCTACTACATTAGTTAGCAAATTATAATTTGGTAAATATACTTAAATTTCTAAATTGTATTTTAATTAACATTTTTATTGCATATTTTTTGCAAAATTATTATGATGTTACTCACTTTTATTTCAAATTCTCTATGGGGTACTAATGTTAAAAAAGTGAGTTATTTACTGTTATCTTTTGGAGGAAAACTTTCACATTTGGTTAGAAATGTATAAATGAGTATTTATTAGTTCAAATGTCAATAATACAAAGCAATGGGTCTAAGTTTTCGTGTTTTGGGCCTTTGAGAGTGATTTTTGTTGTAAGCGCATACTAAATTACTACGAAGATGAAAGTTGGAAGCGCTGCGAAGTTGATTGTTGAAGCACTGTTTCAGCGTTTCCTTCCTCTAGCCAGGCATCGCATCGAAACAACTCAAGCTCAGGTCTGTAATTTTTAATTATCTCTTAGAATTTTGCTCCATTATTTTTATTTAGTTGAATTTTTGAACTTTTTAATATATTTTGATTTTTTTTGTAAGATTGGGTCTCCATACTTGATGCATGATCAAGAATGCAGAAAGTGCAAAATAGAAGTACAGGGTTTTGTTAATTTTGAGGGCTAGGAGAAGAGACTCATGGATATATCGCTAATTGCGTCATTATTGTGGTTTTTTCTTTATAATCAAAATTTAAGAGTATTTATTTTTATTGCTTCATGAAATTATATTATTTTATAATTTCTAAATTCATAAAAATGCATAGTAGGTGTTTTATTAGGATGTAAAATTTGAGATATAGTTATAAATTTAAAAGATTTGAAAATTTATACAAGTGTAACTCAAATTTATTTTTATCTAAAATACTTTCAATTATTTTATTATTCATTTACAATAAATTAAAATTATTTCTAAAAATTTTTTCAATAAAGCACAGCGCACAATAAATTTAGCAATTCGCAGACATTTATCTAGTTATTTCTAAAATTAAATTAGTAGAATATTTTCTTAATTTTTGTTAAAAAAAAAAAGAAAAAAGTAAAAAGGTGTTGAATTGAATGGGAAAGTTGGGTCCGTTGGATCGAGTGATTAGCCGGCAGGACTGCAGCAGAAACAAGAATAATGCAGCTTCCTTAGTACATTATTCAAAATCAAGTCAAAGGCCCACTCCAGTCACTTCTAACTTCTAAGGGCATATATGTCTTATAAATTCATATAAATTTAAATACGAAAACCATCCAATTATCTGAACCATCCATTTTCGTCATCCAACGGCTCGAAATGGATCTGAACAAAACGGGAGGGAACCCACGTCACCCTCCGATCCGACTCCAATTTATATATAATCCCCTCTTTACCACTCTCATTTCTCACAAAAATCTCACTCTCTCATTTTACAATTTTTGAATCTATACTTTACTTCAGATCTAAGGTACTTCTCTTCTCTGTTTGGGTCAAAACTTTGGATTTCGTTTCAGATTTGTTCTGTGAATAGTTTCTGTTCTGATTTTTGAATTTTACAGGTGAAAAATGAGGGAGATCCTTCACGTTCAAGGAGGACAATGCGGTAATCAGATCGGATCCAAATTTTGGGAAGTGGTCTGCGACGAGCATGGAATAGACCCAACTGGTAAGTACGTCGGAAGCTCCGATCTGCAACTAGAGCGTGTCAATGTCTACTTCAATGAAGCCTCTTGTGGTAGATTTGTTCCCCGTGCTGTTCTTATGGATTTGGAGCCTGGAACAATGGACAGTGTACGGACTGGTCCTTATGGACAAGTGTTTAGACCTGATAATTTCGTTTTTGGACAATCTGGTGCTGGTAATAACTGGGCTAAGGGCCATTACACTGAAGGTGCTGAGCTTATTGATGCGGTTCTTGATGTTGTTCGAAAGGAAGCTGAGAATTGTGACTGTCTTCAAGGTTAGCATTTGTTTGCTTTTCGATGTTGATCTCGATTTTGTATAATTTGCATCTGAATTTTTTGAGTTTGATTTTGTTGCCTGTTTAGGTTTCCAAGTGTGCCACTCTTTGGGTGGTGGAACTGGCTCTGGAATGGGAACTTTGCTAATTTCAAAGATCCGAGAGGAGTACCCTGATAGGATGATGCTCACTTTCTCTGTATTTCCCTCGCCAAAGGTTTCTGATACAGTGGTCGAGCCTTATAATGCTACACTCTCTGTTCATCAGCTTGTAGAGAATGCAGACGAGTGCATGGTTCTTGATAATGAAGCTTTGTATGATATCTGTTTCAGGACTCTTAAACTCACAACTCCCAGTTGTAAGTAAATGTGACTTAAAGTTGGGACATTTGATTGATTTTTGCTAGTTGGTTGTTTCCTCGATTTGCATAGTTTTTGAACAATTTGTTGATTTGGTTTATTGATCTGGTTCTTGTTCAATTGGTTTGCAGTAGAAGATGAATATTCATTATATTAGAGGCTTTTAGTTTGTAAATCTGATTGGTTTTGCTAAGAATGGTTAATTCCATATGCCAGTAGCTTGTTTGTGGTTCGGCTAATTGGATAATTGTCTTATTTTTTGAAGTTTGGAACAATTTATTGATTTGGTTTGACGATCTGTAGTAAAAGATGAATTCCCATCTATATTTATGGCTGTCAAATGATATGATAATGTAGTTCAATTAGAGATCCAGCAGAAGTAGCTGATTTGTTTCTTCCCGGAGGGTATTGCAGTTGCAATTATTGCCTTTAATTTTCTTTAGTTGCATCTATAGTAATGTGAAATCCAGCTGGTTTCTGATGAAATGATCTTTTCATTTTACTTATTTAGCATGTTCTTATGATAGGTTGTGAGTCATATTAATGGGACCCAGCTCACAATGATGTATGAACTTCTATATTACTCATCCCTTTGGGACAACTGTTATTTTCCTTTTCCAATTTTCTCCTATTGATATCGTGTTGGATTCTAAATTTTCTTGATTCACATCAGTAAAATGAATCGGCGTCAGGGTCATTGTTTGTTTTAGCATCCTATTTTAGTGATTTGTGGCCACGAGCTATTAGGTTGTGGGCAGTCATGAGTAATGCTTAAAATGTTACTAATGAGTGTAAGGACCACTTGGCTTGTACAGTTTCAGTCATATAAATCACTTTATATTCCTTGGTTCGTGATGAACATGACATTGATGTATCCAATCTTGTCACACTGATGCAATGTTTTTATGTGACAGGCTGTCAATGCTTACAGTCTAAAGGATATTTCAATTTCTTACTTTAGAACATCGGGACAGAGTGGAAATATTAATTTCCTCTGCCTTGGATATTTAATATTTCTGTTAATGTATTATTCATCAGTTAGAAACTTGATGCTGTCCATTTGCAAGTTCAGGAGATATAGTGAATGAATGTTTCCTTGGGTTTCGAATTTTTGTGAACTCTTTGTGCAAGTTATAATGGACATCAAACATCATTCTAATTAGTGGAAAGTTAGAATTAAATATGCACACTTGCATTGCAATATTATTGTGACATGTAAAAAAGCTGCTAATTGTTCATGGAATTCTTAGGTGCTTGTCTAATTTCAGGTGCAGTTTTACATTTGATACTTTAGTGCAGTAATTTCTGGTTGGATATTCTATAAAATGTGAACTCTTTTAGTTTAATTTCTGTTGCAGTTGGTGACCTAAACCACTTGATCTCTGCAACTATGAGTGGAGTAACTTGCTGCCTCAGGTTCCCTGGTCAACTCAACTCTGACCTCCGAAAGCTTGCTGTGAACCTTATCCCCTTCCCTCGTCTCCACTTCTTTATGGTTGGTTTTGCTCCTTTGACCTCTCGTGGCTCTCAGCAGTACCGTGCCTTAACAGTCCCAGAATTGACTCAGCAAATGTGGGATGCCAAGAACATGATGTGTGCAGCTGATCCAAGGCATGGTCGGTACCTCACTGCCTCTGCCATGTTCCGCGGAAAGATGAGCACCAAGGAAGTGGATGAGCAGATGATCAATGTCCAAAACAAGAACTCATCATACTTTGTTGAGTGGATTCCCAACAATGTGAAATCTAGTGTTTGTGACATTCCACCTAGGGGGCTGTCAATGGCATCCACCTTCATTGGAAATTCAACCTCCATCCAAGAAATGTTCAGGCGAGTGAGTGAGCAATTCACTGCCATGTTCAGGAGGAAGGCCTTTTTGCACTGGTATACTGGTGAAGGAATGGATGAGATGGAGTTTACAGAAGCTGAAAGCAATATGAATGATCTTGTGTCCGAGTACCAGCAGTACCAGGATGCTACTGCTGATGAGGAGGGTGAATACGAAGACGAGGAGGAAGAGGAGATGGAGCATATGTGAAAGACTCGACTTGATGGGGCATAGCTACAATGTAAAAGCTGATTACCTTTGCTATATAATATAGTTTGTATGTGGTTGTAAGATAGGAGCATGCCGTTTAACAAGAGCATAAGAAAATTGCCCAGATTTTAATGTGCCCAGTTAAGTAATGGTTAGCGAAAGGCCATAGTTGAATAGATGCTTGGAAGCTATATGATTTATGATTATTTGCTCGTTTGTATGTGTTCGTTTTCTTGTATTATCAAGTAAAAATCATCATTTTAGTATTTTGAATTATTTCTGTTTTAATGACTTAATAAATCCTTATTTTTTGTATTTTTAATTTTTTTCCAAAATTAAGACACAAGTTGTTAATTTTATTTAAATTCCTTTGTTTTTGTTTATCTAATAGGTGTCTTGATACATAGTTTATCGGTTTGTGAATAGTACGGTTTATGAATTGGTATTTTTTCAGTCCGGAAAAAATAAGTAATGAATTTATTTGGAGAATTTAGATAATTAGTGAATAATGAGTTATAGTGTTTTATTAAGGATAGAAATTTGAGAAATTATTTTTATGGAGTAAATTTAAGAATTTTATAAGGATAAATAATATTTTAAAAGAATTTAATGAAGAATATTTTAGCCATTATATTAGAGTACCATTAACTTATCTTGACCACCCAAATATCACTTTTTAAGGAAATAGTGGAAATGATTAAAATGCTCTTATTGACTATATAAGTCAAAGCTTATCCAATCGAGTAATCACTTTTTCTTTTTCTTCTTTTTCTCCTTCTCTTTGGTGTCCTCATCTTCCTCTCCTCTCCTCCTCTCCATTTTTCTTCATTTCCTACTTACTAAACATATAAATTTCACTCCATTAAACCTTAAATAAGTGATTAACCTTGGAGAATTAAAGCGTGGGAAGTGATTTTTGGTATTAGAATCCAAGAAATTTGAGAATTTCCTACTTAAGTCAAGTAAGTGTTTTGATGATTTTCTTTCTAATATTTGGGTTTAGATTCCTCTTTTAGCATATTCATGCTCCAAAATTTTCTTTTACTTGTTCTCTTGGTTATAATTTTTGGATTTCTTTTATATATAGGTGGGAGAACTCTCCACCAAAGACAAAGGGAAAGCTAAGGTTTAAAGCTTAGAGAGCTTTAATCTAAGCTTGTTAAAACTTGTTTTGAGGTTAGTGTTCATAAATACAATTTTCCTCTTTCAATTTTTGAATTTTGAGAATTTATGTTGTTATGTGAAAATTGAGAATTTTGTATGAAATGTTTCAATTGTTAAATTTTGATTGAATAAATATGCTCTTGGGTGATTTCTAAGCATGACTATATATTTAATTGAAGATGAAAACATTTTCCTCTTCTACATCAAAAGAGGCCGAACCTATTAAGGAAAAATGGCCTTAAGTTTTTCTTATTTTCTTTGCTTGTTTATGCTCTTAAAATGATGCTTTATGAGTATTTAGCATGATGGTAGAAATTTCTATCTTGTATCTTTTGTCTGTCATAATTTTTTTATGATTAAAGTAAGCTAAAATTTGGGGATTTGACATGTTAAGGTCTAATAAGGTGAAATGATATTATGAATGTGCTGCTAAGACCAAATGCATGATGTTACAATGATCAGAGAGTTGATTTGCCTAAGTGAATTAAATATGAGACTTTTTTCTACTTGTTAGGATAGGAAGAAGAATGATTTGGAAGAAAACCTCAATGAATTTTCATTAATAGTATATGACATTTATACAAGAGTATTAGAGAAAAGATTTGCATTATACAACAACTAACTACATTGATATCAGCATTGATATCAGATCCACTAATTGTGGAAGACTTTTTGTTTATATCTCTTGTTAGGATTAGAAGGAAGAAGAATGATTTGGAAGAGAAACACTCATGAAATTTTCATTAATAGCTCAATATTGACATTTATACAAGAGTAATTAGAGAATTTCATTAATAGTATATGACATTTATACAAGAGTATTAGAGAAAAGATTTGCATTATACAACAACTAACTACATTGATATCAGCATTGATATCAGATCCACTAATTGTGGAATTCTGTTGTGCCATTTGAATTTGTATCTAACACTACTTATGCCATAACATAGGAAAAATCATCTTTTGGGATTATGATATACCTTTAAATGATAAAATGCTTTGGATGAAATGCTATACTATACCTTAAGAAATGAGGAATTTCCTATGACTTGAATCATAGGTTTATTTGGATAAAGGTATGTATAACTTATGTGTGATGAAATTCTCTTGATTATTTGTATGTTTTAGGAATATTTGATGAATATAAGACATAAGTTTGAAAAGTATTCTTTATGATAAGAATGTCCTATGATGAGATATTATGCTTAAGCTTGAAACTTTGGTGAATTACTTGAGTTCTAAACTAAGCATATAATATGATTTCAAGAAGATTAAGGAAAATGAATTTTATGAGAAATGTTATGAATTAAAAATAATAATAAAGATATGTTCTTGGGCTCTAATATACTTGTGTGAATTTGATGTGTGATTTGATTTATTATGTAAGACGAGCATGCTCGGCATTTGATGTCATTATGATATGAAGCTTCATTATGATATGAAGCTATTGATGTAAGACGAGCATGCTCGGCATTTGATGTCATTATGATATGAAGCTATGATCATATGCTAGGCATGTGGGTGCCTTATGTTAGAGCGGACGCGCTCCATATGTTAGAGCGGACGCGCTCCATATGTTATGGTAGGCTTTTGAAGCCCTTATGATTATGTTGGCATATAAGGTCATTATGAGTAAGTTTATGAAATCTTATCTGCTTCATTTTCTCCTAAATGTATGCGAGCCCCTTTAGAAAATATTTTTAAGGAAATTAAATTAATGAGATTATATTATTCTAGTTGATCTTAGTATAGGAATAAATGATTATGTTTTTCAATGAATCTTTAAAGCATGATAATTTGGTACATAGTTTTAAAATAAATGGCATGCTTATTGATAAAATTAATGTCTAAAGTAATGAATATATGATATGAAAGAACGAAGTTATAGATGTATCAAATTGTAAGTTTGGTTAGATATTTCTTTTGCTATAAAAGTATATGCATGTTGAATGTTCAAATAATTTTATGATTGTGAGCCTTTTTATGAAATTTATGTTCTAAGTATGTTGCCATCGCAACATTGATAAGTATGTGATTTATGAGCACCACTGAGTATAAAACTCAGCGCGTTGATTTTTATCATGCGCAGGTTGAAGACCGTGGTTGCTGCTCGAAGACCAGAAGAGTAGCATCAGAATAGAAGAGACTATTTGGGTAGTATTAGAATTAGTCTTAAATAATTAAGAATTATGGTATATATAATTATTATCTATATGGAGAATATGTTATTCGAATTATAACTTAAGCATATTATTATAAATTATTTTGGTGTAGATATTTGGAATTAAGCATGAGACTTATTTAATGATCGGACATAAAATATTTTCAAGCATATTATTATAAATTATTTTGGTGTAGATATTTGGAATTAAGCATGAGACTTATTTAATGATCGGACATAAAATATTTTCTAAGTTGGTTGGCATGTTTGGATTATTAGGACTTGATATACAAATGAATGCATTTAGTTGATGATTATTATGATGCTAATGAGAGATTACATAGTTATGAAGTTATAGAAGTATTGTTTGTGTTGTGTTGATTATTGGATTTTGAATTTGGGAGTGTTTTGTATTCACATGTTTGGCAAGCTTAATTTTTAGGGGAAACTCTTGTAGTTTTTCTGTAGATTTTTCCAAATCATTTTCAAAAAAATATTAATATATTTTACTTGCTAAACTTGTGAATACTAAATCACTTCTAATTCATACCCTGATAATATGATTTATATATTAGTTAGTATGGTGGCTCCGACACCGAATGTGGCATCCGCCGTTTGGTCTCTCGGGACTGGGTGGTGGGTGATACACGAATTGCACATGTATCGAGATTCTCATTAGCCACACCTAATGAGTCAAGCCACTAGGGCTATAAATGAATAAAACTTAGCTCGATAAGCTCGAATTGCACATGTATCGGGCTTCTCATCAGCCATAGCCAATGAGTCAAGCCACTAGGCTGTGATGAACAAAAATCGGCTTGATAAAAGCTCTGTTTGGTAGTGATTCAAGTTTCAAACATAATTTTAGGCTCGTTTAAATAAATGAGGCTAGATAAAAGCTCCGTTTGGTAGCGATTCAAGTTCGTTTTCTAAACATAATTTTAGGGTCGTTTAAATAAATGAACCAAGCTTGAACATGGGGTAATTTGAGTTCATTTTTGCGATTCGAGTTCGTTTTCTAAACAGAATTTCAGGCTCATTGAATTTTAGACTTGTTGAAATAAATGAACCAAGCCTGAGCATGGGGTAGTTCAGTTCAGTAGGGCTCGCTAATTGTCTCATTTTTTAGGTTTATGAACAGGCTTGTGAACAAGCTCGTGAACATACTCATTTAGTAAGTTCGTGAATGGATTCATTTAGTAAGTTCACAAGTGAGTTCATTTAATAGGCTTGTAAATGGGCTTATTTCATACTTATTTTATTATAAATGTATTATTTTATTAATAATCATTTGAAAAATTATTATAGTAATAAATATATAGCTAAATTATGATATAATTTTTTTGTTATTGATTACTAACATAGAAGGAAATGAAATTATGAATTGATAATTATATATTATTTTAAAATAGAAAACACGTTGTTATGTTAAATTTACGTAATCTTGAATTGGATCTAATTAAAGTAATACATATAGTCAAATTCGTGTATACTTTTTAGTATGAGTCATGTATAATCATAAGTAATATAAATATATATAGAATTTCTTTTATATAAATAATGAACTAGTATTATAATTATAACTAATACTCTAATAGATAATAGTATAGTTACATGTAATGTCACTATATGTTATAACATATAACATATCTTATTAATTATGATAACTAATATTGTACTTTTAAGAAATAGTTTTATAATTATCACTATTTTATGTACGTTAAAAGTTTTTTTTAATGAGTTTTTTAATTTTTGTTTTAAATTTCCTTTCTTTTTTTTTTTTTTTTTTAAAAAATTTTTTTTTCTTTTTTTTTTTTTTTTAAATTTTTATTTTTTTTTTTTTTTTTTTTGTTTTTTTTTAAATTTTTTTTATGGGGCGAGATATTTATTTTTTTTTGTTTTTTTTTTTTTTTTTAAAAAATTTTTTATTAATTAAAAATTTTTTAAAATTATTTTGAAGAAAAACTTTTTATTTTTTTTTTTTTTAATTTTTTTTTTAAAAATTTTTTTTTTTTTTAAAAATTTTTTTTTAAAAAAAAAAAATTTTTTTTAAATAAAAGAAATGAGTTTTATATATTATTCACTATTTTAATTATCATTAATATTTTAATATTATTATATATTTGTGTTTCCTAGTAATGATTATCATTAATATTTTAATATTATTATAATTTTGTGTTTCTAGTAATATTCTAATTACAATTATTTTAATTATAATATATTCAAACAAATAAATTAATTATAAAACTATATAATTATAATTATATCTAGTATTATAATTATTATTATACTAAGTAAATTATACCTTATAGTAATAGGATGATAGGTAATAGGTATAAAACATAATAAATATTATAAATTTATAATTATACATAATAATGTCAATATTTTAAAAAAAAGTCTTGATAGTGGTTTTAATTATTAGTAATATTCTAGATAATAAAATAATTATAAATGTAATAACAAAAATAATTTACTAACTACTATTATCGAGATCGAACTCGAGTTTTTATCGAGCTCGAATTTGAGCTCTTAACGAATGAAATACGAGCTCTTAAGCTCGAACTCGAGCTAATGTAAAATAGTTTTAATCGACTCGAGCTCAAGCCGAACTTGATTTCTTATCAGTATTTCACAAATCAAACCTAAATAATTTAAAGCTTGATTTGACTCCATTCGTTTACCGTCACAAACCCTCGCCGTGCCACGCTAACCAGAATGAGTATGAAGAAAGATAGAGGGTGAATGAATAAAGAAGATGAAGTAGGCAAGTTGGTGGACCCATATTCAATACAAAATAAGGTGGAAAAAATTTAATCCATTATTTAAAAAAAATGAATTATAATGGAAAAAATTTAATCCATTATTTAAAAAAATTTAATCCATGATAATAAAAAAATTTCAATTTTATAAATTCAACTGTATGAAATATAATATAATTACATCAATTTTTTTACTATTCGATTCTATGAGTATTTTAAGAAATAGAAGTAAATTAATGAGTTTTTAATTCTTAATTTTATTCCAAATATTATTTTGTGGATGTCAATTATATATTTAAGTTAAAGCATACTATTTCTAAAAAAATTTGTGGATGTCAATTATAATATTAAGTTAAAGGCATACTATTTCTTAAAAAAAAAAAATCATTATAGTATATATTTATATATATATATATATATATATATATATATAATATAATTCATTAGTGATAGAGTATATTATTAACTCATTCGCAACATTCGCAAACGAGTTATGCATTTTAAATCATATATATAAAATTTTCTATATTAAGTGGCATTTTGTCCGGCCGATTTATGTAATTAATTTGCACTTACCTAGATTATGAGTTTTTTTATAAGGATCCTAATCAGCAATTCATAGTTGGATTGAAGTCTCAAATCAATTACTGATTCTTTTTTTTTTTTTCACCCACTAACTAATTTATGTTTATATTATATTTGAATTATATCAACCTCTATCATATTAAACACTTAGATGAAACATAATATAATATATCTAATGTGAATAAAAATATATTAATCCTAGTAAAGGAATCATTAGTTAAGATTTAGTACTCTTTTTTTTAAGGAAGATTAATACTTTATTAAGATAAACAAAAATGTTTTAATTTATATATAATCATTAATGTTATTATAAAGTATAATTTATTTACCACTTAAATACGTGTGTTCAGTTGATTACCATTGATATAAAAACTACATGAAAATCATAAATTAGCCATAATAATAAAATTAACTAAATTATTAGAAATATTTAATTAAAAATTTGAAGATAAACTCTCTCATCTTGAATTTAAAAAAAAAAAAAAAAATGAAGATGAGAGAATGATGTGTGTTAAACCATGGGTTAAAATGATAACACATCTATGAGATAAGTTGATTCTTGAGGAAACAATGATGAAAGAGTGGCTTGGCTTAGTGTCTGTTGGATTTCTCGGTCATTGTCTAACCTAAAGAAATGCAAAACGAAAAAATATTTTTTTAATATCGCACATTGATGCGATTCGAGCTGCAAATTATTTCTCATTAGAAAAATGCTCAAATTCCCTCTGAAGCACCCAATATTCAATTTATCCACTTTTCACCTTTTTTTTACCCAAAAACTAATTAACTTGTAAATATTGGATCAAATTATTCATTTTTTGGCTTGGTTCAGGTAGTGAAATTCACGCGGTCAAAGAAAAATGATATCATCCTCTCAATCAATAGAAAAAACCCACGTTCACCTAAACTTCTAAATTTTCTCTTTCCAAGCCTGCTCTTCCATTGCCAATGTCAGCTCCATAACTATTCATGTAATTTTCAGAAGGTCTTCTCCTTTTAAAAAGTCAATAGCACCAATAGTCCTTTCACGAAAAGCAAAAATTATTTAATAATCCAAATACCCAATGCAGCAAGAGAATAAGATGGGAAGGGTGGTAGAGCAAAGACTTAACTTCCACCACCTTCCATAACCAAATGCATCATCTTTTAATATCATTTCCTACCAACGAACAGTTCAAACATGGTGATTCTAACAAATGCCAGTAAAAAGAAGGAAAAAAAGAAAATAGATCAAAAAACAAAAATAATTTTAAAAAAACATATAACTGATACTCAACATCGTCATTAAGATATTTGGTCTGCAAATATCTCATTTCATTTTAACTGGCTTGATATCTCTTTATATACAAACAGCTGTGACTACACATACCAAAAACATAAATGCTAACAAAAAAAAGAAAAAAATTATTAGTAAATCAGGTACATAAAATTACATTTCATAAACATGACCCATAAATTAGCATAAATTAAAAGAGAGTGAAAAAATTAAAAAACGAGTAGATTAATTACCAGGAAAGTGTTTGCCAGCAATTTGAAGTATGAAATTGCAGATTTATCAGAGCCCTCTAGCCAGAAAAATTGCAATAGTTCGAGATTGGAGAAATCTTCATTAAGGTTGAGAGCAATCATGCCAGTTCTCAGTTTGTTCTTCTTTGATCTCTCTCTTTCATGGTGGTTTAGAAATGGGGTTGCTTCTATATCCAAATCAAATGTGAGAAATCATTGTTGGGTGTTCGTGATGCTAGTACAAAGCTAAGGGAAATTGTAAGCCTTTTTAATTTTTTTAGCTTAAAATAACTG